TAGAACACATCCCTCATTAACCAATAAATCATCCAGAAACTTTTCTCACTCTCCTCTCTCTGCCTCTCCGTCTTGCCTTTTAGCCGCTGGTCTCATGCACACCTTCAACGCTCACGCGGCCACCGACATCACAGGGTTTGGCATCCTTGGCCATGCTCAGACGTTGGCACGGCAACAGCGAAGTGAGGTGTCATTTGTCATCCACAACCTCCCGGTGCTCGCCAAGATGGCTGCCGTTTCCAAAGCCTGCGGGAACATGTTTGGACTGATGCATGGCACCTGCCCTGAAACATCAGGTACATGGCTCTCTCACTGTCATTCCCTCGCCGTTGTGTGTTTGTAATGCAGACATTATTTACAGCATGTGACACCGTTGCGGAGCCAGACTCACAAAGGGCTTTGCAGGCCAAGAAAAACAAAATGCAATTCCATTCTGTGACAGACACAAAGACACAACCATTATGTTCTGGACATTGACAATATGGAATAGTTTCATCTTGCAGAAACGTGATTGTGGCGAATCTTTAAGTCCATAACCAGAACCATTATTTTTTTGCTACCAGCAAAGTGAAGGCAGTTCAGCTCACATAGCGCTGCAGTGTTCTGAATCAGCTGCTGTTTCTCAGGGGGTTATTTGTTCAGGCATGAAAACTGAAGGCTACAATAATCTACCTGTAATAAAATAACTAAAACATGGTGAACGACAGCAGATCATAATGAATCACTATTTAAGTGAGGAAATGCAAAACATAAAACTTGATTTTTTTTTTTTCTAATTCCACGTCCTGAGAATATGAAGAGGCTGAAGCTTGGCTGAGGTGCAGCTGTAGCTTTGATCTATGCCCTTGGCACCACTGAGGATTTCTGTCTTGTCAGACTTTCTGGGCCATCCGATTCCTTGAAAATAGTTTAGAAAGCTAACTTATGTAACTGGTCTGGTTTGAGGAAAAGACACGACTTAGTCTGCAAAAGAGAAGACGAAATCTTGATAGAAACTGAGCACAAAAAAGAAAGAGAGGATGGGAACCACTGCTCTACAGTCTCATGTAATTCTACTAAACATATCAGCCTACAATTCGCAGCATTAATATCAAATGTTACACTTAAATTCAATATCAAGAGAGCTGAGCACTAACCAGCATCACTGGAAACAATCACCAATTAAAACACTCGACTGACAAAATCTCCTTTCATTCACAGGCGGCCTGCTGATCTGTTTGCCTCGGGAGCAAGCCGCCCGCTTCTGTGCCGAGATCAAATCTCCCAAGTACGGAGAGGGCCACCAAGCGTGGATCATCGGGATTGTAGAGAAAGGAAACCGCACTGCTCGCATCATCGACAAGCCAAGAATCATAGAAGTGGCACCGCAAGCAGCCACGCAGAATGTCAACCCGACACCCGGTGCAACTTCGTAATCTTCCTTCGATGCGTCATAGACCGGAACCCAAAAGCTCTGTCGAGTGATTTTAGACACATAAACTACAAAAACCATCCTAGAGTGTTGAAATATATACACAAGATAGTATGTACACAGAAAAGACTGGGTTGGCGTGCATCATCGTGAAAACAGCCCCACACAGTGGCCTCGGGGGACACGCCACCACCCAGTGGACTCAACCTGCAGTATCCCCCCTCCCCCCATAATAACAATTGGTAAGAACTAGAGCATACTGAAAATCCGTTTGCCTTTTCGTGTCTGTCGTGTTCTGTTTTGTTAAATGTGCTTGATTGGCAGGCAGCTTGTGACAAGAGAGCGATCGTTACGATGAAGACAATAATCTGGTAATGCTGATTCATTTTGAATCATAGGAAGCCTGGAGTCTGTTGTCTGTTTGGCTCTTTTTAAAATTGCTCTCATCAAACAAACAAACATACAAACAAACTGTGTATGGTGTTTTTGTTTGTTGCCCATTCACTTTGTACAGTTATAAAGCCTAGTTTTAGTTCGTTGCTGTAACTGATGCCTTGAAAGAAACCGAGTGTGACCGGAATGGCTTGTTTTTTTATTACTTTGACTTTTTGTATTGTCCCCACATAAACTAATAATAAATAGTCAAATAGAAGACGGTTTGTTCTCGCTGCTTTGGAGCTGCACTCCTGAATCAAATTGGACGTCAGGTTGATTTTTCCACATTAAAGAACCGATGCTGCTCCATTGTGCATTGTTCTGAAGTTAGAAATGAAACTGGAGTCATGGGTGACACAGTATCTGCATAATCCTCAGGAGATGAACCTTAAACCATCTGCATTCCCAGTATCATTATACGGTAATATGATGTAAGCTTTCCATCGTAGATTCAAAAAAAAAAAAAAGCAGCCCAGGGTTGTGAGTCAACAAGTTCTCTAAACATCTTGTTGCCTGGTTGTTGTGTCCAGAATCTGGTGCGTTTTATTTTTTACTAAAGATGTGCTGAGAGCAGTCTGACCTAAAGTAATGAAAGCTTCCAGCTGGTCAGAGTTCGTTTTTGTTTTCCCTAATAGCTGGAGGGAATCTGGAAGATCTCTGTAAATGTTCAGGAACAAGATATAATCTCCATCCCACCTCTTACAATAAACCTCTCTTATAATACATTGTTTGCTCTGCGTCTGCTTTTAAAACCATTTATTCTTCAAGTCAAGGTGTGATAGATGCATTTCTAATTTGTATTTCTACTGTTTATAAAATGAAGAGATAGCAGATGATCATGTATTGGGTGTATTAGGGGTTTTTATTTTTAATCAAAAATGACAACCGCCTTAAAATGAACAGCAATTTCATAAATACAGCCCTATAACAAAGGATTGACATTTTCAAACACAGTACTGAATTCTTCAGGCAAATATATATTTACAAGTTTCATATACACAGACTTCCTACCATAAATAAAGAATGTAGTTGTTGTTTTTTTACATTAGGTTTATATACAGTCCATTGCATACACTGACCAAAAAAGTGCAGAAACAACCTTTTTCCAAACATTTCCCATTATTAAAGATTAGAGTTCCCTCAGCACGAAGCAAAGCAGTTCTGACAAGTAGAAATAAATTAGAGGAGTAACCACAATTCCTTTTGTCTGACTGAGTGGAATGCCCAGCTCCTGTAATGTAAAAAAACAAAAAGGTCTTAAGTGTCGCCTTGTTTTTATGAACGAGGCAAAGACTGACTCACAAGCTGTATGCGCTCTAAATCCAACATACCTTCCTGCACTGCCTGCTATATGTGCTTTTTCCCATTTTCCAGCGGCACATGCTTCTCTACCGTCTTCTTGTCATTTTCAGGCTTGTAAAGTGCTTGAATATCGAGCATGGCCTTCTGAATGTGCTGACCGAACCGGTACGAGTCCTGCAGGTGATGGAAGCAGAACATATGTTGAGTTTGTAAAGACAGCGTTACCACTATACAGATGGATCTATTATAATATGCATTGGTCCAGGTTTTGTTTTGTTTTGTTGTTCTTACTGTGTCAGGGCTGGAGAACTTGCTGGAGATGTGGAATGTGATGAGGTTTTCTCCAACAATGATATAAGACACACCATAACCGTCATCAGCCACCTGAGGACACAGCAGATGTTATTATGTTGTATATCACAGATCAAGACTGCAGGTCTGAATGGTAATACTGGGAAACAACTCACAGGCCCAAATCCGCCTCCAGCACCCACATATTTAGGGAATTTGTTGATGTCAACGAGGTTGAGCTGCTGCTGTGGCGTCTGGCTGGTGGATAATTTCCATGGCTCTGAAAGAACCTAGTAGCAAAGGTGTGGAAAAGAGCAAATTAGAAAATAGAATTGCTGTGAATGAGAAATAAAGTGAGTGAGAGATCCTGATGATTAGAGTTCTAACCTTCTTCAGAAAAGGCGAGTCAACGCCGAGGTATTTGGACACTAAGTAGAGACAGAAGAGGTGACGATCGATGCCAGAACCAGTCATGGCCAGACGATACATGTTCTGATGCTTATCTGCCGCCTTCCGAAACAGGGCAAGTCTCTGGGCAGTCTGAGCATAGAAACAGACAGTTGCTCATAAAAATAAGCATGCAAGCTGCTCCTTGTTACATTAACGTTAAAAAGACCATTTTTCCTGTAACACAAGTATCACACTGCCAGCAACAGTCCAACGTCCAGGACACATAGACACACATCGCCTCCAGGTTTTGGTGACCAAGTCCTAAGCAGCCCAGTGTGACCTCTCACAATGTGACCGTTCATACTTCTGAGCTGATACACACCATGTGACTAAATTTGTGATCCTGATGTGCACACATTTCACACCACATATGCCCAAAGTCTATGTATTCTGCAAAAACATATTGTTACTGCTAAGTGTTTTAAAGTTTTTGACTTCTGACTCTGCTTTCCTGCTTAAATGCGTTTGTACGTTTGTGCGTTCTGCCTACCGTTGCACCCGCATCCTCCATGGCTCTGACAAATGCAACAGCCTCAGAGGTGCAGGAGCGCACCGTCTCCGTTCGTCCGTCTCTGAACATACGAGTCATTGACGACTCGTACGTTAGGCAGAACACTCTCTGGTCCTATAAAGAGGAGATGTGAGTTAATAGTGGTGGATGGTATAATAAAATACACAGGGCAGCGCTGATGTCGGTAAGTCAGTGGATGATGGAAGGCCTACCCTGAACTGTGCCAGCTGCAAGGCCAGCTGAATGAAAGCATCGGGGCTCGTCCTGCACTTCTTGATCATGCCTTTCCCAAAGTCATTAAACAGGTATCCATGGAAGTCCACGTCATCGGCAATCTGCTTCGCTGATAGGTATGAGGTTTCAATGATACTTTGGCACTGAAAGAAGGGAAAAAGAGTGATATTCTAATTCAGAAACACGGCTAAAAAAACAAACAGAAAATCCATGAGAGCCAATCAAATATTCCTCTGCACCTCCTCTGGAATCTGCCACTGCAGTCTGGTGGGATGAGGCAGACCCTTGTTCACATCCCCTTTGCAGTGTCCCTCCTCTGTGTAGCCAAGATGGAAGCAGTCTGTTGCAAGGACATACTACACAGACAGAGAATCCCATATGACAAAATCTGCAGCCTTTAAATCATTGTTTTATCGCTCAGTGTGAAAAAACACATCTTATACCTCCCACATGTGTCCTACAATTGGTGCATCAGCCCAAGAATGTTCAGCATTTACACCCATTTTTCCATTTGGGTAAGAGATCAAGGTGAAAGACTTGTCGAACCACCTGTGAGAAAAGAAAGAACAACGTTTTTGAGGAACACAAACAACTGAAAGTCAAGAAAAACCAAGGCCTGTCTTCTCTGCCTACCTGTCATAGCATTTTCCATGCAGCAGGGATTTGGCGTAACTGTCGAGGGAGTTGGTCTTTGCAGGGTCATAACCCTGTGGCTCATCATCCAGTGTCAGGAAGAAGGCGGCTGACTCAATGGCATCCAGGGACACTTTGTTTACTCCCTGGCTGAAATATTTAATCCGAGCCCGAGCCCACGGTACCCTAGAGGTGAGAGGAACACAATGTATTCTACAGAAAGTGTTTGAGCATGTGTGTGCTTGACTTGTGTGTTTGTGAGGAGAACATACCTGTTCCCTGCAGTCAAGGCAGCTAATTTGAGTTCTCCTGGTTGGGGTTCAGACGTATCATTGAGGATCCTTTGAAACTGAGTCTCCAGTTCACTGGGTAAGAGGTGGCGTCCTCCAGTGTACAGCCACAGGTGGAAGAAGCGGCCCTTGTGGTAGACGACCAGGTGCTTACGGTCTGTCAGGTGCTGCACAATATCTGTAGGGATTGAAAACAAGGTCAGCTGGATGACAATGAGGATTAAAGGTATGCTATATTTCATTGTTACAGCTGATGGAAAACATGTGCTGTGACACTATTTATAGAGGTGAGCCCAGCAGTGCAGCATGCTGGAAAGGTTTTATCCCAAGAAAGCAGGAAATATCTGTGGAGCGTTGATTGAACTAAACAGTTGCTCACCTGTTTCAATGCCAGGGATGCGGGTGGTGTTGAACATCCTCTCCATCTGAGTGGAGCACATAGGAACCGTCCCCAAAGCCCTCAGCTGAGAAGGAGGAATCAAACGAAATCATCATCATCATCATTCAGGAAGCAAAGACATGAAAGAAAAAAAAAAAAAAGGAAGATCCACGGCGAGCTACCGGTGCATGTTCACCACGTTCCAGTTTGCGTCTGTACTGCAGCATGGCGTGGACCACGTTTCCTGCTCGTGCAGCCTGTCGGTGTGTCGGGGTCACGTACAAGAGGTCCTTTACAAGAATAAACACATCACATGGACAAACCGAACACATGAAACCACCAGAAACAGGAAGCAGACATTTATTTCACGTTTTATTTTGGAATTTGGAAAGGGGAAGTTTTAAAAATGAAAGGAATTTTGTTGGGGAAATTGTATTGTACTTAATTTTCACCTTTAGTGTTATAAATAAAAAAGTCTAATAAATAGCCATCAATCTTACCATTATATAGAAGTTACTGTTGACCATGATAGGAGTCCTGCCCCTGAGGTAGATGTACTCCTCCCACCAGTCACTAACCTACAGAAGATAACGTGTTATTATTGTGAAACATTATGATTGAAGTGAATCTGAGTTCCACTGTTGCATCATGTGTAAACACCACTCACGTAATTTGTTGCCCACCAGGATTTTAGGATTAGGTACCTCTGCAGCCGGGTTGCCATGGACTCGTTAAACTCATTGGCCAAAACCTCCATTTGACGGTACTGTTCAGTGTCCAGCAGAGGACGAACTGACTCAAGGTACTGCAGGGGGGAAGAAAAATACTGTTGTTAGGACGAGGGCGCGCTGTTATGTAGAAACACACCTGATATAACAAAGCAGCTGGGATACACAAACAGAAATCCTGGAAGACATCCAGAGCAGGTCTGCTGCAAGGAGGCCCGCTAGAGTTTTGTCGACTACAGCAACTTTAACCGGTGCAGGAAGGCAGCTAAAGGCTTCGAGGCAGCACTGATTAACCTTTGTCTGTGTGGTTTCAGAGGCTGTGTTGATAAATGGTTTGCAAAAAAAAGGCTTCATTGTGTAGGTTTGTTTAAGATAGGTTGAATGGGGGGTGTAGAAATGAACAAATTTACCTAAAAACACACCACACAAGGGTTTTCATGCCAAATGTTCATATACTGTGATTTCAAGAAATTAACCTGTTTCTGGTCGTGGACGGCTGATTCTGTGTGATTACATACCCTGTGAATTGTGTCGTCCACACTGGGCACAGGGAGTCTGGGTAAGGAGGCCTGGAAACTGTAGAGCAGGGGTCTGCGTCCAGAGAACATCTTTACCAGGCTCTGGTGGCAAACAAACAACAACCAGGACGTCAGATAGATACCGGATGACCCTGTGTGATAGATTCTAGAGAGTCATCATTGACCGGCAGCTTGACAAATGGCACAAGTAAAGATTCAGTGACAGGAGTGCAGGAGGGACAAACATACCAGCCACACTTTGGTCGACGTGCTCATTTTTCCGTGGGATTCAAAAATCCATCCATGGTAGGAGAGCAGAGCTTTGAGAGTGTATCTCAGGAGGTAGATGAGGAACAGCCACAGTCCAGTGGCAAACAGGATGGCGCTCAGCACTGCTCGGGTCTGCACTGACATATAGCCTCTGCTCAGAAAAGGTACGACACTGCCTTCGTCAACAATCGGGCAAGCACGAAATCCAACAGACAAAATGCAGAATAACTTTGTTTTTAAATTGTAGACTTGTAGACAGTTCAAACCACATCAGTGAACGATTTATTGGATTGCTGACCTGTGTGGCAGGTTTTCCTTGATGGCATCGATCATTCCTAGAGAGGGGTCTACGTGGATGTACAAGGAGCTCATCATGGCGATCACAACTATCAGCCAGCTGGACGGGCTGGCAGGGTAGACTCCAGCCAGTACGCCATTCTGTGACGAGACGAGATTACTCACACAACGGGAAAGACAATGCACATCCAGTTTATGGATCTTTAATACTACACTTGAAAGCTTGTTTTTACTATAAATGAGTGACTGAGATCCGTTGGCTCTGGTACCTTGAACTGAATGGCTCTCTTCTTCCATGCAGTCACTCCTGACAGGTAGATGTTCTTGATGACTTCTTGGCTCAGCTTTAGGTCGACACCATCTGGGCGCACAGTGAACTGGAAGCCCACCGCCTGATGCGCCTCAGCCATCTCTGTGTTTCACTAACATGGACAGCAATGAGAAACTACTCTGACTATAGTCTAAACCAATACAATAAAAATAAACCGTAGTTCAGTCATCAGATAGATTTATGTCTTTACCTTTTGCATAAGCTGCACCTAAACCAGTATCACATTGTTATCACTTTTATCATTTATACTTCAGAATTTTAAAATCACCTCATGAACTCAGACCTTTAACTTCCAAGTCATTCTAATGGCATCTATACTTTAAATCTAAATTGTTGTCATGGTGATGGCATGGTGGCCACTTCAGGAGACAACAAAAGTGAACGTATGGTGTCTAATCCCAAAACTTGCTGGTTGAATAATCCTGAAGAAACGCTCTCTCATCTTGCCTGTACTACTGTGTATGTACAGCAAAATGACAATAAACTTGATTTGATTTGATTTGACTGAAATGTTATCCAGAAATATATTTAGCTTGTGTATCAATCCATCCAAGATCTCATTGCCCACAAACCATATTTTCTGATCTTAGGTAACATTTTTTTCCTGATGAAATTTTGAGACATCCCCTCTAATTATTTGTCCAATAAAGGTTATCATTTATTGTTAGTGGAGAATGTTTCAAAGACTATCAAAATGTACTTTTATTTAGCACTTGTCATGGAACTCCTCCATCTGAATTTTCACCAGATTTTTTATTTCAGCATTAAGTCGTAGTGGTAAAAAAATAAAATAAAAGGATCTATATGTGTTAATTTTTCTTGTTTCAATCATATGTTTAATCATTCATAATTTAATTCAGAATCTCCATATTTTATATTTACTCATTAGCATAAATGCTAAAGGTAATGATTGTCACAATGGTAGATGATGGTATTAAGCTCTGATGTGTTTGAGTTGTCATGTGTGCTTTAAAGAGCCTGTTTAGGTTAGACTGCTCACTGAATACGTCAGAGTAGATAAAGGGAGCTGGACCACTTAATTTTATAACCTTTACTGTGCAAATAGACTAATGTTTCACCACCACTGTGTCTTCATCAGTCTGAACCGAGAATCAGCTGTTTCAGCTGTATTTTGCTGGAAGAGTCACAAACAAAACGCTGTCTTTATTGAGAATTTAATTCACTTTTATTATACAACCAATTAACTTTTTCTTAATTAACCTCAAAAAGAACAGAGATGTAAAAAAAAATGTAGATCTGACAGATGGTTGTTTAAAGGAAAGTGGCCCTGTTGCTCTTGTTTGCTCATAATGAGATAAAGTAGGTCACTGACGTGGGATGTATGGATGTGAAATACATTGTCAAGTTCAAAGGGTGGACGTCTGAAATGCTGAACACGTCTATCTGGACTTCCCACAACACTCCATATAATGGTTGGGGGGGAACAGAGCTAGTGTTTCTTTTTCCATGTCATATGACTGAACAGTCACCAAGTGGGACAAAGTTCACCAGCCAGATATAGTGGTGCACCGGCTGAGCATGTGCACAGCCCTCAGATGGGCATGAAAATATAAACACAGACTACAACTAGGAAAGGCATGCAAAACTCTTTGCTATGACAGAGTACTGTGAGAACATTTTGGTCCAATAAAGGTCAGGAGTCGTTTTTAAAGTGCAACCTTTACAAAATACATCAGAATTATAAAGAATTTTGTTCAATAATTGTTTGTGTCATTGAACTTCCCCATCATCATTTTCACCATATTTTTCTCCCCCAACATAAATGACTTGCAAACAGCACAACACAAAATGTCCAGTACATTTTTACCCTCATCTGTTAAACACATATGTGAATAAAATCTGGAGTTTGCTACCATTAAGAAGAACCTGCATGCAGATATGAATAAGAAGCCAGTAGATGCTTTACCTTTGTCAGACCAGACTCAGTGGGATCCACTCAGAGGCAGGAGAACAAGCTGTGACTTTGGTTTCTATCAGTGAGGCAGTGAAATTTTTCTGCACTCGGCCTCGTGTGCTCTGTGCCCTTGAAGTGGCTTTCCTCAGGTAGTGATTGGAGCTGATGTCTCCTGTGCTTTCCAACCCTCCCTCCCTCTCTCTCTCTCTCTCTCTTTCTCTCTCCCCCCCGTCCTCAACTTCCCCTTCTCTCTCCCTCTCTCACCCGTGACATGCTTCTGGTTGTAACAAGACACCAAACATAGACAGAGTCTAACCTTATGAGCTGTGAGGTCTCTGCCTACGTAACCGAAGCTGCTGCAGTGCTGTGTTTGGATGTAACTGAGAGCCATGTGACATTTCACCTACTGAGATTACAAGCATTTCTGGAATCTGATAATAAAATGGATCTCTGTGATGGGATTTGTATAGAAGGTGAGACATCCGGGGGGTGAATTGGTGTTTATTCGGAGAAGATAAAAATGTAATGTAAGTGAGGAAAAGGAGTTATATCTTTAATGTAAACAAAACAAAGGAGGTAACAGCAACTTTGGACTGGGTCAGGATACATCATGTACATTTATTGTTCATAAACAACCTTTATTAACAACAGAGAGTCCACTGAGATGTTAAATCTCACACATAAAGATGAACATTAGACATTATATACAGAATGTACTTGTCTACACGTAGAACCGAGTCCGTTTTCTATCTTTTTTCTTTACTGGGTTTTAAAATTACAAAAAGATTCATAATTAAAACGCATTAAGAATGAAGCTTTCTTGTTTTTCTCCAAGAGTTACTCCTTGCTTTCATCACAAGTCTAAAAATATCCTGCCCTCAGATGTAAACTTTAAGCTAAGGACAGAGATTTTAAGCACAAGAGGTCGGGATAATCCACTTATGGAATTTATCACCTTATGTCTCAGAAGGGCTGTAAAAAGTGCCATCACGTTCAGGCACAAAAACAAGAGGAAAATCTGTGCTAACTATAGCATCAGAAGTGAAGATAAAAGGTAGCTTCATAGCGGGTGGAGATGGGTAAAGGAGGAAGAGCTCTGATGGAGAGAGTTTGGAGATCCATCCTTGCAACAGTGTTGTGCTCTATACTTGGCATCAGGACCTGGTCACCAACAACCGTCCCCTGCCCCGCAAATGCCACTTTCTCAGCCCTGTAAACCTGGAGATAAAGAAGAATATTTGTTTAATACTCATAACTTAATGTGATGAAGTAGTTTGAAGTGTTTTCACCGTGGATGCTCACCTGTCCCCACTTCTGCGAGTCCACACAGAATGATGTCACCACATTCTCTGAGTTGTTCCCACCAATCACAAGCAGCCTGTCGGTGGCCCCCAGGAAGTAAAGAGTGGGGAGGTCCACATCAGCTCTGGTAAGTGTGGGAAGCAGTTCACACCAAGAATCTAACACATGAAGAGAGAGCAAAGGCGCCATTTTTCATCCAGGTAACCCATAAATCGAACGTAGGTGAGCTGAGCTAAAGGTGAAAGAGAAAAAGCACTTTGCAGACAACAGCGCTCACAGGGAGGAGTTGGAAACGAAAGCATGTTTTGCTAAACAAGTCTTTGCACCTTGCTTTGTGTTGTACTGCAACAACAGCTTCTCTCCAGTCCTCTGGATGCTCCCCAACACATAGACGCAGTGTCCAAGGCTGGTAGCAAGGGGCACGTCATGGGACAAAGACATGGTGAACTGGAAGTCAGTGAGGGGCAGTGAGGACACAAACCTAAGGCAGAGAATACAGCAAGAAATGAAGGATTCCTTTCAGAAGTGGAAATATATCAACTAGATAAGCATGTTTCAAGTACTATGCAAATGTGGCAAACAAACAAACCTCCATGTGTCCTCCCATGGATCATAGCGCTCTACAGCTGTATAGAGAGCTGTGCTGGAATCCGGAGTCACCAGAGAGTCCAAGTACCAGCCTCCCACAGCATAAATACAGCCTTCACAGGCCACCGCACTAAAGTGCCTTCTGTGCTGTGGAGGCAACAGATGGTGACAGTTTTCATTAGTGTTATATTAATGATGGAAGATGACAAAGCAAGAGAAATTAGTTTTGGGTAAGACACACAGACTGGCCATTAGCTTGATACACAAACTAGAAGCAGCATCTAACCTTTATCAGACGTGATGTGGCGACCCACGTATGAGTGAAGGGATTATATCTAAAGGAGGCCATAGTGAACTCCCAGCCTCTCCTCATACGCTGCCTGTAGCCTCCTATGACATACAGATAGTTATAAAGCACCACTGTCGTAAAACACCACTTATCAGCCCTGAAAGGAAGCTCTGTGACTGGATGCCAATCTCCGCTGTCCTCTGACCCTTTCAGGGTGAACATGTGCCGGGCACATTCTGTTTCTGGGTCGTTCCAAGAACTCAGGTTCTCTTTCCTGAGGCTGCAGAGTCGCCTGTCTCCTTGTATCCTCAAGTGGACAACTTCTTCCTTTTCCTCGTCACTCAGACATCTGAAGTATGAATCAGGTTCAGTGACGAGGGACAAACATGTTCCAGATGCTGTACACAATCAGCGAATTCAAACTGTGCATACCTGATGACATGTGGCAGCTCCAGCATGTTTCGACTCAGGTAAGTGAATACTGTCAACTTCATCTCCTCACAGAAAATCTCCTGAGCGAGACTCAGGTATGACAGGCAGTTGGATGAGCTGAGAACATCTGCCAGGACTGACAGGCACTTTGAGAGGAAGGCCTCAGCTACGAGATAGCTGCTTACCTCCAGAGTCAAAAAGAGGAGAAGCAAGAGGCGATCAGTTGGATTTAGGTCAAGTAACACAACAAGTGAAACCATGAGCATCAATAGGGATGAGCATCAATCACCAGGGAGGTTTTATATTTGTCTGTATACCTGGATGTGTGTTCCCAAATCTTCCTGATGGACTTTAAAATTGTTATAGAAGGAGAACTCAAGGAGATTGTAGAAGACGGAAGAGGACACGTGGTCCAGGTGGATGAGGCTCTCTGAGGTCTCTCTCATTCTGGACTGGGACAGAGCTCGGAAGTATTTGCTGCACTCCGCAAGTCTTTGGAGGTCCACCTTTAAAATAAATTATTAAACCAAGTATTCTGTGACCTTCAGTTAGTTTCTAATTAACCAGTACAGTCTGGAGAGCTGCATTATGTTTTGTACTTACATGAAAGGCATGTGTGCTGGTTTGAACTGTAACCTTGGTTTCATCTCCATCTCCAAGGTGATATGTGCGGAGTGCCTCATTGGTTCTCCACTCGTCTGAGTCTACTTGGCACGACCCTGTATCTGCGATGCCAGGGGATGCTCTCCAGTTGTTGACAATTGGACAAGCATTCAAAAGCTTTCCAAGACCATGCTTCAACCACAAGCTTATCCACTCTAAGATTATCATAAAATATTGCCTGAGAGAGGTCATCTCACTTCCTTTGGATCTGAGTTAAGCTCATTTTAACTGTTTACATACTGTCTGTGCCGTGTTATTTGCTAAAACTAAAAAGAATCTCACACTGGTTCAATCACACACTCAGAATGGCGCTTAAGTCCTCCATATAAGGTAAGACAAGCCCGCTGAAGAATTCCAGCAACCTCTGCACAATGGAAAAATAGAGGACAGGACAGTAAATTCAGTCCATGCACCACCGGCTCGTCTCCATTTCCTTGCCTCAGCGCTCACGGTCAATGTCACAGGCCCTTTAACAGGACAAAGGCCAAAGCAGCTGTGAAAGATTTTTTTAAGATTAAGTTTTTAAGCCTAGAAAAAGTCAAATCATCAACCACAGAGCTCCAGTTTGTTCTAAGATAGATCCAGCAGATTCAAAAAGTGTCCCTCGTTCTTTGAGCGGTGTCGTTCTTTCTGGCCGGTCTATTCTTGGCTCACGGAGGTGGGAACTCTGTCAGCCCTCTGGGAATGAAACGTGGTCTTCACTCTGCTCTGGACGTCATCACGGGGAACTCAGATTACTTAGTGGCTAGAAGAGTGTAACTTTACGTACTGCAACGTCTTAACAATACATCTAATTTTTGTTTTTGCAATTGAATGAACAACAAAAAAAGCAGGTGCAGCAGCCAAATCTAAGCACATATGTTTATTAGCTTTTAAATTGTAATTGTAGCAGTGCAAAAAAGGAACAAAATAATACAGACAAACTAGAAGATAGACAATACTGGGACAATGTCACATTCAAAACAAAAAGGAGGCAGTTAATGTGTCACAGGCTTCTAGTTACTTCTGGTGTGTAAACCGATGCAGCTATGTGTAAAACAAGGACCTGGAATTGTTAATTAATGCCAAAACATTCAGACTAATCCAGGAAACACTCTAAATAAACAAAAGCATCATAAAGTGAGTCAAACAAAGCTATTAGAAAACTGGTAAGAAAATGTCACTTCACATTCAAATGAACTACAGCAAAAACCAAGATTTCAGGTATTAGTAGATTTCAGAGCTTGAGGTTCTTACATACATGTGCCAGATGAATATTTTAGTTCCCTAATACCTCAAACAACAGATAAGAATGTCAGGAGTTTGGATATTTTAAGCGATTATTATTTGTAGGGGGGAAAAAGTGGGAATAACTGATCCATGCATATATGACGGGAAGTTAAACAAGCTGATTTAAGATGGATGTTTGGTGCAGCAGACATGGACGGTTAATGATGAATTAAATATTACCGATTTCAGTGATTTACACTTTGTAACTGTTCTGGTGGTTAAATTACCAGCATCGTTGGCTACAGTGATACTGTATACAATAGCCCTCATATATGAATGGGTTAGGCTTCAAACTTTATGAACCTTTAAAGAATAATTACAGGGAATACTTTACGTTGTCCTTCAGCATGGGGTATTTAGAATAATCTCTCCCTCATAGGGTAGAGTTACAATTAGCCCTCATGGAGTGGATGCATCTTAATGCAGAACAAACACCACGAAAAAGAAAAGAAGTGAGGTAGAATGACCCAAAAACATGTTAGCAAAAGCGACATACGCTGAAATCAGTAGTACCGGTTTAGTAAACCAAAGTGACGATTGCAGTAAGTTTAGAGTCTCAACATATAAGACAATAATACTCTGGCAAGGCATCTAGTGCTGGCCATCACAGAGCTCTGACGTGAACAGAAAACAGAACATAACCAAAGTACTGAGCATGCCAATGTCAAAAAAAGAATGGTCCAAAGAAGTGAAGTGCATCTAAAAATGTGACAAACAAAAGAAAAACAACAACCAAAAAACAGTCGTAGATCAACTGACTGAGATTCCTAAACGACACAAACAACACAACGCTCTAGAGAGATCTCAGCTCTACCGACACTTCACACTATGGGAATTGATGCTTCAATAAAAATAGAGTGCTTAAAGGCTTAGACTGTACTTGTGCATTGTCCTGAAAAAGTACATTTTGACGTTTCACATCATCATCATGCTTATGTCATAAGCAGACTTGCATAGTTTCAACAAGATGTAGCTGAAAACAATGTTGACCGAAACATGAGGCGACCTCGGAGAATGTTAGAAAACAGTACATTCTGGTTAACAGGGTGGAATTCAGGAGAAGAGCTTCTTTTGCTTGAAGTAGCTATCAAACCGAGACTGGGCATAGTCCTGCAAAAAAAACCAAAAACAAACATTGTTTACTTAGAGGATAGATGCACTGAAAATAAATAAAGAATCCTTATTAAGTGTTTAATGTGTGAACACTCCATGGAAATGTGTTTTTCTTTTTGACATATCTGGACAGGAAAACATTTGATACGATTTAAAACTAAACTGCACAACATTATGCAGCTATTTTCATAATATACATAAAAAGAAACCTAGAAAATCTATAAAATCAGAATCAGGGGTTTCAGGTGGTTAAGTGCCAGTGGATAAAATGATTATTTGTCATATTTAAATCTTAGACATTTAGACTCTGGTGTTCTTCTTGCAATTTAATTGTGTGACACTGGGGATGCCTATGATGCTGGCAAAAGTTTTGAAAAGATCCCCAAATGATTTGATATAATAATTTCACTGTAAAAACAATCAGCAACAAATGGGGTAGATTTCACTGACCTAAAAAAAACCTACAAAAAAAATGTCATGACATGATCTGCAGGTGAAGCTCTTGCCGGTGTTGATGCCAAAGTGCATGTGTCTACATCATCCAGACAGAGATTGCACAAATTTGACCTACATCAGAGGCGTGCCAGGAAAAAGAATTTGCTGTCCAAAAAGAACATTGGGAAATGTGCTCTGGAAAAGACTAATCAAAGATGGGAGGTTTTTTTGGCCAACAGACGAGTTTGGTGCAGTCCAAATCCTGCTAAAATGCTATGAGAAGATTTGAAATTGACAGTGCCTGCAAGAAAACCTTTAAAAGTCCTTCAACTGTATTATTATTGAATTTTCTTTCTGGGATGAATAAAGTATTTTTCATTCATTCATTTCATTCAACTGAGGGAACCTTGCAGGAAGAGTTAGCGCGCCAAAGTCAAAAACTGGTGGACAATTAAGCACGGTTCCAATAAGTTATTTTGGCTAAACTGGGCAATACTAGCTTCCCAGGCTACCACCTCCCACATGTAGAATATTTGTGAGAACAGAATAATACATTTATTGATATTCTTGTTGAGTACATGACTGCAAAACCAAGTCCAAACATACCACTTTCATCAGTAGGCACTATATCAATGAGGATCTATTGCTTGCTTGTCCAAATATGTTAAAAATATTCAACCATTTCCATGGGGTGTACATTGTTTTTTTTTACATGACTGTAAAAACCTGTAGTGTCCACACCGACAAAAACGTACCATGTATCCAAACTCAATCTTGGATATCTTTGCTTGAATGATGGACCACAGCCCCCAGAGGAAGTCCGACGCCAAAGCATATCTACAGTGGGAAGAAAAAATAAAATAAAATAAAAAAAATGTATACATATATATAATCTATCAAACCTAAAAGTGTTTTTAAACAGTGTGTTACCTGTTTGCTTCAAGTATCAACTCCTCTTCCATCCGTGTCTGGTCCGTAACATCGTCAGCACAGTGTCGCCTCTTTTCTGCCAAATAACTTCTGATGAAGAGAAGCTGAAATGAAAAGCGAAATGATTTGCAACATGTTAGTGAATGCAGTAAAGTATCAGCTCTTACTGATCGGATTGGTTTCATTTATTGCAGCTCTTGATCTCAATCCCTCTTGTGAGCAACTTGTTTCACCAACAGATGGCAGTGCATGACCAGTGGACTTTATCACATCCATCTCCCTGCAGGGATTACCTTAGATCTTGAATAACCACTGTAGTATGTATCCGTTTGAGCTCAGTGAAAGTATTTAACAAACTATGCATCCAAACAGAAATCATCAGGTTGACACTCAAACTATGAACAAATAAATATTAACAAATGAATAAATATTTGAAGTCACTGACGCTTTTTCTCTATTTTGCATAAATGTAGAAAAAACAGTGAAGTTTCTACTTTTTGAACACCACCCTGCCCAGAGGGTTGTTCAAATATTTAATTTCATGTTTACTGTACTTTTTTATTTTATTTTTTTTCATTTTACAAGGTATCAAATACTGTTACGCACTTTAAAACTTCAACATTCATTAAGAAACTGCACCATTACAATGCAGCGTGCCTGAAGTTAATGACAGCTATTTAAGCCATGTTTAAAGTAGATTCTCAGAGCATCCATTTGGGTGTATAATGTTTTTTTGGCTGAAATATGTTTGGACTGAGGCTGCAATGTGGCTCGGTGGTTAGCACCGTCACCTTGCAGCAAGAAGGTCGCCAGTTCGCGTCCCGGTGAGGACACCCGGGGTCTTTCTGCGTGGAGTTTGCATGTTCTCCCCGTGCAGCGTGGGTTCTCTCCGGGTTCTCTGGCTTCCTCCCACACAGTCCAAAAACATGTTGAGGTTAATTGGTGATTCTAAATTGTCCGTAGGTGTGAATGTGAGTGTGCTTGGTTGTCTGTCTCTAAGTGTAGCCCTGTGATAGACTGGTGACCTGTCCAGGGTGTCCCCTGCCTTCACCCTGAATCAGCTGGGATAGACTCCAGCCCCCCGTGACCCTAGTGAGGATTACGCGGTGTATGGATAATGGTTGGATGTTTGGACTGACCTGCTGCTCTCTGGTTGGGTAGTTCTCTGGTGTGGCTTTGTAGAAGGGCCACTCGTTGTAGGTGTAATCATACATCCATTCACAGAAGTGGTTCCCAAAGTCAAAACCCCTACACACAGGAAAATATAACATCATTCAATTTATACACAAGGGCACAGTCCAACCCCTTGTTTCTTCACAAAATGCACTGTAGATGTATGACTCAACCCCAACACAAATCCCTTTCAAACAAAAACAAAACCGATCCCTTTACATAAAATCTAGAATTAGGAGTTTATGCGTCACCTGTAGTTGTAGCTGCTGTACTCAAAGTCTATCAGCATGAGATTTTCTGTTGAGGCGTGGTCCTTGTCTTCCAGCATAAGAATGTTTCCTGGAGCAACAAAACAACAACTGAGAAAACCGCCATCATGCACCCTGATGAACTATCCAGTGTGAGGTTCCAAACAGAAGGTAGTTTAACATAACAAAACAGAAAAGTGGTGTTTCTATTTGGACTTGTCGGACCGGTCAGTGTTTTATGAGTGGGTCATGTGGGCTCTGTAGTAAACAAATGGGATAATTACTATACATCAGCTCCTTATCTGCCACTATACACCTGGAATCGCATTTCTTCAGACACCATAAATAGCTGTAATGTAAAACATAGTGTATGTTTAGTAACTGAGAAGTCTTTATCTCCTAAATGCATTTAATGACTAAATGTATGCGGCACGTTGAAATGCACTTTTGTTCTGTAGTTTAGCCTTTTAGCTCCAAGCAATAGCATACTTTCCAACTGTGTGGCAACAATGTGACAAAAGCCTGTTTGTCAGTTTCGCCAAATCAGAGCTGCAAACCAAAAGCCAAACTCATAAAGAAGTGTTTCGTCGGGTTGTTGCAGAACTGGATTGCAATGCATGACAACTGTGTGTCAGGCCTCATTACACAATATCGCAAATGGTTCTCTAAAGGAAGCGATTCTCTCAAAATATGAAATCCTGCTCAGAAAACTGGAAGTCATGGGCATAAAAGTCAAGGAAGGTCAAGCAGTGAGTTCATCTTGGGTGGCTGACTCTTTTGTGAGACGCACTCATTCATTAGAAACCTGAATCTTTGACTGCCACCTCATCTACAGCGACAGGATGATGCATATGAATATCAGCTGTACCTATTAATAACTACACCCCAGCCAGCCTCTGACTTATATAATATACTGCTCTCCTGGGAAATGTGACATTAGAGTCAGAGGGTGGATCAATCCGACTAAACTGGTTGTGTGAGGATAAGAGGAGCTAGGATGGGGGGGGGAGTTTTTACCTTCTTGGACGTCATTGTGGCAAAACACCACTGGTGATGGAGTTGATGCCAGCAAAGCACTGTTAGGAGGACAAGAGCCGGACAAACAAACAAACAAACAAACAAACAAACAGAGCGGGTGATGAAAGAAAAAGAGGGAGAGAAAAGTTTGTCAGTGTTGCACATGCAGGTAGTCTTGCATGATAATATAAAGCTAAAATCTAGAAAACAGAAAATACATTGACCTGTGTATACGTAATAAAAGCACAGATACCCTGATCTGTCAATCCTACACTGAGTAATTAATGCTCAGATATTTCATCTAAATTTGTCACTGTTGTGCTTTATGTTCACAACAGCTGCACAATACCATTCCACACGAGTTGGAGGACTTCTGGTGAATGCAGTGCATAGATTCTCACGTCTCACGCAGTGAGAAGTTCATCTTATGGCTGCGTTAGTGTGAGATGGGTACTTATCAACAAGATAACGTCTGTTCACAGATAAACCCACACAATAAACAGATGCCTGATTCTCTGTTGGCTCTGGCGTCACACTGTCAGTCGGAGCCTGCAGTGGAGTCGTGGAGGCACTGGGACAAAGGTCAGTCAGCAAGCTGGACTCAAAATTACTAATAGTTCTGTCTCTAAGTTGAAGTCACTGTTAGTCACACATCCTTAGCTATAAGCCTCCATATCTTGATCACTACTGTGAGCACACTTTTTAACACAACAATACATTTTATTGGTCATTTTATTTGTCTGGTGGTGAGAATGTCATGTGCTTGTCTTAATATTTGTCATAATCAGATAAGATAAACCTTTACCAATCCGGAAGGTAATTCTTTTCATGTTAAATACCGGTAGATGACATTTTGTTTGAATTCAGCAGATGTTATTTACGTGTAGATGACAAGTTTTTAGGACTCATTGTGACTCCCTTTCAGAATCGACACGTTGGCAGGGTTACTTGCACACAAAGTTTCATCATTTAATTGCCTTCCCATGTTTCTCTCATCTTGGAATCAATTAGTATTCAACTGAGGTTTTTCTTGTCTATATGAAACTTACACTCAGTAATATGAGGTACAGAAAACATCCAGAGGTTTTTTTTTTTTTCATTTACAAAACATCCAGCTCACACTTGGCTTAAGCAACAGAGATTGTGTCACAGTCCTGCTATCGATCTTTTTACATATCTTGAAACTGAGGCGCACTTTGGAGCATGACGGCTTTGCTTTGTACCATCTCACGTTAATGGGAGAGCTGATTTATTGGACCGTTTGTCTTTCACCCCTCCTACCACAACTTTGAACCTGTATGTGCGTCATATATCCAAAGACACTCCATGCAATCAGTGGCAGCGGGTGAAAATTTTTGGTGGGGGGGGGCGCAGTCTGCAAATGACCTTTTATTTTAAATCAGAAATTTGAATATGAGTAACATCAGGCACAACTATTTACAGGACTGCTAATGTTCTACCTTTGGAGGATATTCTCATCATAATCTAATTTAACATTATTAAGACGTACCAGAACTAAATTTCAAAACCATTCATTACTCAGGGCTCCAGATTAACTTTTTCACTGGTAGCACCAGTATGACCCACCTCCCACCTGGTCACACACAAAACATGACACACTGAACATTTTCTTATCGATAGAAGCTACGATTTACTGATGCTCCCTGAACGCCCCACATAGCAGGTAGATGCTGTTGGTGGTTGTGGTGTGCTCAGACAGGTGTGTGACCAAAATGACTTTAAAAATAATAAACTAGGGCGTTCTCATGTCAGATATGTCCGAGATGAAACCGAGTTACATGTATCCTACACACGGTCTTTTCTATGAGTCGAGAAACACTGAATGCAGGTGTGCTCCGTTTTTCATGGGAAGACCTCATTTTTAAGCATAAATGCTGCAGTAAAAGTTCTACTTTGCACCACTGTGGTTAACAGCAGCTTCCTGTGCTGGTTACAGCGACACTAATATAGCTTCATGATCATCATGCTCATCAATTCACACACTCCAAAAAAAGGCTGCAAATGCAGTCTTGAGTCCTGCTATTTGAACAAAAAATTGGTCTCTTCTCTCTTTCTGCTTAGCAAACTTCTCCCTGACTTTTCAGTTGAAGTCATCACAACAGTAGCTGTGATCTGGCAGAAGAGCAGGGGAAAGGCCATATGACGTGTCAGACAGCGCAGTCGTAACAACGTCAAAGGACAGTGTTGATATCCAACCACAGTAGACTAAAGCAAATAAAGACAAAATTAATTGGCTTCCAGCGAAAGTGGACGGGTCGCACCAAGCTGCACCCCGTGAGAAAATCTGCAGCTGCCAATCAGAGCCCGGGCCAAGGTCACATGACCACAAAACCACATACACACCCATGTGGCTGGCACGTCGCAACCAGGAAGTGTAAAATTAGTAAACACACTGTAAAGACTAACTTTAAATCTGTAAATAATACAAAGAATATGAACATTATTACCAATTTTATTATTATTTTGTTATAATTAATTCAAATGTAATATTGTGTTTGAGAACTACTTTTTATCTGGTCATTAGTAGTTTTTATCTGCGCCGCCACTGCGTGCAATATGTAATGTTTGGCCACTTGAAAGCTGCATCTCGACTCACCGGAGACTCTTCAGCTCAGCAGGCAGATCAAACCTCATCAACTTCTTGTACTTCTTCACATGTGCTTCACGTGTAAAGCTTATCTTCATCACTTGATCCATGTACCTAAAAACAACAGGGAGACGGTATATTTTACTGTGAAGAAGCAACAAACACATTTTAGTGGCAGAGAGACGCAGTGATACGTCCTTACCTATCGATGGTCCCAAACAGCCACTTAGGCTCTTTGTTAAAGGGCATAACCATTTCATGGAAACGTGCCAACTTGGTGGCAATCTCGGCTGAGATGGCTGGATTGGAAAGCTGATCTGTACGCATGCGAGTATTCTGGAGGAAAAACAAAAAACAGAAATGAGTACTTCTAGAACTACACTGTTGCTAAAGGACACTACAAAGTATTATTTATTCCAAATGTGCTTCTAAAACATATTTTATGATGGAGGCAGCAAGTTTTTGTTTTCTTTTTAAATCCTCAATGCTATCACAAAAGGATGATGTGACAATTACATATTTTGTCCAGTGAAAAACAAACAAACACATCACTTGTTTTCATATACAAGCACAACTCACAATTCAGCTAGATATGACAGCAGTGGAAAACATGAGCAAACTACTGTGTGTACGATCGTGTGAGGACAGAAGTGTTTCTCATACCGGGAGGTATTGCTCTAAGCGTCCCTCGGGGAAGATGCCATAAAGTTTTGGCCCTAATGTTCGTTCTGCCAGAATGGCAAACATCACACTCTCCAAAACCAGAGAGTCCACACCCTGCATTAGAGATATACAAGGACAGACAGACAGACGGTGAGATGACAGTATTAGTAGTATTTGCAGCCACACACATTCTTGAACAAACATGACTCCTTAAAGACCCGTACTAGACAGACCAACCTGTAAGATGGCACCGTAGATTCTGAGGAGCACCTGGCGAGGTTCCTCTCCCACACAGTGCACATGTTCAGGCAAACTACACAGGTACAGCAGATTACTGAGTCCACCACTGCAAAACAAAAACACCAGTGTTGGCACATCTTATCCAGGTTACAATAATCCAACAAATCCAGTTACCAGATTCTGCTACTAGCCAGAGGACCACATTGGATTTTGCTTAGAATGTCTTTGTGTTTAATCACATGACATCCACAAAGTCAACTTAGGACAGTAAAAAAAACAAAAAAAAACAAAAAAAAAAACAGGTATAGAGTGACAACAGAAACTCAAGACTCCTCTAGGAATTTCAAGAAACATTTGAGAGACTTAGGTTGTATGATGCAAATCTCACATCATGTGATTTTATTGATATTTTTTAAGTGGTCACAAGCCAAGAAGGATGAGAAGCACGGTCATGGAAGATGTAAAGAATGCAGTGACTTACGTGAATAAAGGCCAGTACAAAGTAATCACTGGAGAGCATGGACACACAGTAGTGACCTTCACTAAATAATGTATAATGAGACTAACTTTTAATGCATCTATGATTATGACAAGAACCCTCTTGTGTTTTTAGGAGAGCCTGACCGGCCTATTAAGAATATATCAGCATAAATGTCATCACATAGTTTGTGTAGCAGAGCAGCTCTGACTACATTGTTGTGGTACATTGTACGGTTTGCCACGGTGCTCTTCAGTAAAAAATCTGATTGGTGAAGTACTGGAGTACTCCCATGTTGTCTATGTTATCTATGTTGTGAATGTACTTGAGTAATTATTATAATTAGGATTAAAACCTGACTAAAAATTGTATGAAATGCAAATTTACCTGCCTACATTAATTAAAAAGGCCAAGATGGCCTCATAGGGGATGCAAGGTGGATCAGTGGTTAGCATCGTTGCCTTGCAGCAAGAAGGTCACCGGTTCGAGTCCCGGTGAGGACACCCGGGAGTTTGCATGTTCTCCCGTGTTCTCCCCTGTTCCCCGTGCAGCGTGGGTTCTCTCCGGGTTCTCCGGCTTCCTCCCACAAGCCAAAAAACATGTTGAGGCTAATTGTGTGTTAAAAGTGTGAATGTGAGTGTGCTTGGTTGTCTGTCTGTAAGTGTAGCCCTGTGATAGACTGGTGACCTGTCCAGGGTGTCTCCTGCCTTCACCCTGAGTCAGCTGGGAAGTCCAGCCCCCCCCAGAGAAGATTAGGCGGTGTGTAGATAAAGGATGGATGGAAGACCTTATGGCATTATACATTATGGAGATTAACCTGACCAATTTTAAAATGACAGCCAACACCCTGCAGTATTATTAATTAGGGAGATTAACCTAACTAATGAATTTATTAGGGTAAGACCCTACAGTACTAGTAAGTGTGGAGATTAACCTAAATAGTTTAAACCTTAAGGTATATGCCTACAAAAATATACATGAAAACTCAACAAGTCCAAGAATCCTCTGGATGTCCATGAGCAAGCTCTGGTTTTATTTCATGTGTGTAATTTAGTGGGGTTTTGTTTGTTTGATTGCTCTACTCTACATTATCTTTATTTTATTATTTTTATTTAGTTTTTACAGTGGATCAGTCTTTATGGTAAGTTAAATAAAGAAACAACACCCCCTTAGAACCGGTAACGGCTTCATAACCCCACTATAGGTCGGGCTCCTTGTTTTTATTTACCCTACATTCATTTATTTACCTGACGATGCTGATCTGAAAATCGCCCTCCTCGATGGTCTTCCACGACCCCGACAGAAAGTCTCGGCACCACGTAAAGGCCCTGCCCCTGGTGTCCCGGTCGACTTCTTCGCATCTCCCATCCCGGAAAGACTCTGCCTCCGAGTCGTCATCACCGCTGGCCCCAAACAGAGGACTCGGGGTCCGTAAGTTTCTCTCGTCAACGACAAGCGTGCTGCCCACCCGCTTCTTCTCCGCCGGAGGACCCGTGTCTTCGGTGGTGACAGTGGGAATGATGCTGCTGAAGAGCCCCGGCCCTGGCTGCTCCGCTTTGCCCAAGCCCCGCTCACTGCTGCGGTTGGTTACATTTCCACTGGACTGCATGGTGAGTGTCCGGGCGAAGAGTAAAGGAGCACGGGTATGAAATGTCGGTCTGAGGCGGAAGGAGGGGCTCGCTGACAAACGCAGTTCGCCGGTAAAGCTACTTAACCGGAACAGCCAAACATAGCTGGTCGGAGTGAGACGCATGGGAGGCGGTTGGCAGCGTAACTATAAAATATTCAGATGACTTTAACCTCCGAACACGCGCATCGACCAGTGACGAGGACGTCGCGGAACAGGATGATTCAGCGTCCAATCAGAATTGAAGCTGTCGCCCACAGACCAATCTGATTGGTCGCTGCTGAAGGCGTACAATTATACGTCAGCTTCCCGGTTTCCCAAAGGTTTCTGGGAAATTGTGTACTTTCCATCCATATTGAACATCCGTTAACGCCTTTGTGCTTTCATTGGTACAGTTGTCCTCAAATGTGTTCATACTCTTCCATTAAAGAAAAGGCAAAATTCACAACAGTCACTCAAATAACAAGAAACTGAAAAAGCAATAATAAATAAATAAAAATTGCTAAATTCTAATTTAGTGAAATAAGACATTGCTTTTGAATTGTGGTTGTAAAGAATAATAATAATAAAAAAAAAAAACTGTCCCGGACAAATTAGAGCCTGTCAACAGGTGCAGAAGTCTGTTACAGAATACACTTGATTGCAGTGATTGCCTCGAAGGGTTGTTCAACAAAATATTACTTTACGGCTCTCATCATGCTTGTTTGCTATTTTTTTTTCTTTTTTTTCTGTTGAACCACAATTCAAAAGCAATGTCATGATTTTCATCAGATTTTTATTTATTGCTACTTTTGGAACTTTCAACTTATTTCAGTGACAGCTGTTTTTTTTTCCTTCTTTAATGGGAGGGTATGAATACATTTGAGGACAACTGCAATCAAATGAATCTGCTTTGGTTTGTTTGTTATGCTTTAGTGCAACTACTGTGAGGGTCATAGACTGGGTTCACTGGGTTTTCGGGATTTTGTCTGTCTTTGTGTTTTGGTGGGTGTGTCTCTGCTCTCTGCAGGCTGGGTGGAGCCGATCAGGAGACACGCTGGCAGCTGTGGCTCATCGGCTCATCAGCTGTGCCCTGCTTCAATACTGGCGTCTCACAGAAGACCGACGCCAGAGGATTGTGATCCCTACCTCGGGGTACAGTCAGGCCCTGAGCTGCTACACCGTGCGGAGCATTCCTAGTATTCTTGATGTTCTCTAGCTTCGAGTTTATTCTGTGTGTTTCTCTGCCTGTTTCCAGTTCTCCACCTCGGCTCCAGCACTCGGCACACCTCCAAGCACTCCAGCGTTTGTCACCTACGACCACGGACACCTTCACCGGGAGACCCTTCACGAGAGCACCCCCCCCACGAGCACCGAACCCTGAGCACCGGACCCCTGCGCACCACCCCGGTTTCCCTCGTCACGGCTCAATATCTGCACCGGGAAAAACCCCACGGACCAAGGCACTCTCAGGCACCGGCTCTTCGTGCACCACCCTCGGGACCCCCCTTCCTCGGATCACGACACCGAAGACTCCACTCCTCCCTCTCCACGACTGACATCCCTGCACCAGATCCCACCACCGGGTTATTCCCCACGACCGGCACCCCTTCATTGGACTTTGTTTCTGCCTCCTGGTGCCCATCACTCCACCACCTTCCCTAATAAATCCTGTTTCCTTGAACCCGTCTCCCTTTTTGTTTGGGTCCACCCGCACAGTCACTGAGCACGAACCGTCACAGAATCCTCTGGCCAAAATCATGGACCCAATGAACCCCGGCACCGTTGAGGAGGCTCTGAAGGCCCAAGAAGAACTGCTTGGAAATCACGACCAGCTGTTACACGGGATAAGTGTCTACCTCCAGACCCTCTCCTCCCAGGTCCAAGGATTTACCTCTCGGCTGGACCAAATGGCGTCTGTCAGTGCCGGATCCTCCCCGGATTTCCCCGTGAGTACTCCTCCCGTTACTGCCCCCTCTCTTCCTCCTCG